GTTGTTTTAATTTTTTAAATAAATGCCTAATTTTTAAATAACTTTAGATTTTTTAAAAGTTGAAAAGATAGTACAGAGTTCTTGTGTGTATTTCACCAGCTTTCCCCTATCCTTAACATCTTAATTAATTATGCATAGTTGTCAAAACTAAGAAATTAACATTGGTACAACACTAGAAATAAGCAGCTGATTTATTTGGATTTTTATCAGTTTTTCCACTAATGTTGTTTGTCTCTTCCAGGATCCAATCTAGGATACTACATTGCATTTAGTTAAGTGGTTTATAAAATTCCTAAACTGTTTTTTTTTGTTTGCAATGATATTTTAAGAAAGTATTTTTGCTGCTTATAGTGAAAAGAAAACCTTATTTCAGTTTGTTTAATTATGTCTAGAATAAAAGCAATATGTCTTAGCTGCTAGTTATAAGAATCTATGAATTATGTTTAAGGTTAAGTTTTTTCTCTTATATTGTTTATTACTTGCTCTATTCATTCACTTGGCATTTCTTCAAAATTTATGCAAAAGTAAACATTAACATTGCTTGTGTTTAGATTGACAAAATGCTTACTGGAGTAGGGTCTGCTGAACAGAGGCTACATGAATATTGCTCCCACATAGTTCAGTTCCTGCAGTGCATCGGCCTGTTTTCATCACGCCATCTGACAATACAATGGAAGAGAATAATCTCCCCTTGGTTTGATAATGTAGCTCAAGGAGTAACAAGGAGGTCTCTGAGAGGAAGCCTTCATTTTATCTTGATCTCACAGCAAATAGAGAAAATATGATCACGTGGGTCTCCTGAGATTCTAGCCTAACCTCTGCAGCAGGCTGCCTGGGGAAGAATACTTTCCCTGGCTTCCTTCACTAACAAGTCAGACCTCTAAGATCACTAGTGATACCAGAGCTTCCTTGCTGTGAGATTCTGCCCGGCCAATGGGGAAATCTTGGAACATCCACCTGATGGGACATATGATTGAGATCATGAAAAACTGTGTGTGTGTGTGTTTGAAGGTTTCTGTAAAACACAATTTTTCAGGTAAAACACACATATTTACATAAGTTAATCTCTGTTCTGGGAAAAAGTTATACACAAATGGAGAAAAAAAAATGGAAAGGAAATTATACCAAAAATGTTTATTAACCGTTATCTTTTTCTGAGTGATGGACTAAAACCTGGCTTTCATTTTACTTTTTGAAAACCCTGCAGCATCTCCAGAATTTCTGTAGTGGACATAAAAAGTAATGAAAATAAAGAAAAAAATAATGTCACGGTTTAAGGAATAAAATAAAACAAGGTTTTACTAATGATATGTAAATATTACTCTAATAGATTATCTGGGG